AACAAATCAGCTTTGTCTGTAATGGATAACCGAGTGCCCCACCTGTCTGTCCCATCTTCCTGTGTACTGATTCAAAAGTTTTTACTGAAGCAGCAGTTTTGTGATCAACCTGTGACAGCGGATCACTGAGGATAAATACAAAATAAGCCACTTATTAGCTCATGGTCAATGGAAATATTAAAATGAAAAAAAAAAAAAAAAAATCAAAGTTAATACTAACTCTTGTGGTTTTGATTGGTTAAAAGGTAGTGGCTGGCTTTTGCTGTATTTCTCTGTCACCATCTCCAGCAGCCGCCTGTAGTGCTCCTTATTATTCTGCTTTATGGCCTGAAGTCACCAAAAATATCAGAAATGAAAGTGCAGAGGTTCATACTTTTAAAGTTTGATTATTGGCACTGTGAGGTGGGGAAAAGTGGAATTTAAGTATATTTTCATATATACAAATAACTGACTAATTTACCTCTTCCACAGTAAGACTGGGCTTGTAGCAGCGGTTGTGTCCAAAGCCATTGCATGTTGGGTCAGGATTAGCATTTCCCACCCTGAGCACAGGCCTTGAGGACAGCAGCTGGAGGGATCCTCTCCTCTCCCTGTCCTTTGCTCTGTCCGGAAGCCCTACAGGGAGCGTTGTCCCACTGGATTAAAATAAAAAGAGGGAGGTAGATTAGCATGGGACCCGTTTTCAATAGGTGGTAACATAAAAGAATAAGAACAGCCTGAAGACTGCAAGCACAAAGGCTAAAAAAAAAAAGGTACTGGATGACTTGTACTTTACATAAATCTCCAGTACTGAATCACTTGCCTGTATTTCCTCATTAAAGGAGGTAAAGAGCTCTGAAAAGGATTCTTTCCCTGACTCTCATTACCTCCAGCTACTGGTTTATCTTTGAAGAAAGAACATCAAAACAAATGACATTGGGTATAAGGATGAGATCATTCTGCACTGACAAGCTTGGTTGAAACACAGTGACGTGAGTATAATCATGAATTGTGCGCTAAAAGGTCCATCTTCGCTTACCCATTCTCCATTCAGTACTGTTCAGCCATGAGGTGTGGAGCTCATCTATGCCCATTAGAGCGACAGGCTGGATCAACAGAGGAAATTCAATGGAATTACAGAGTTACACGGATAAATAAAGTTAGCTATGAAACTGTATGTATCCACATGGATAAAGCAGCACATGTAGTATGCATCGCATCTCACAAAAAGACTCCCAAAAGACTTTTAAACGAAGTGTTGTTTTGCCTAAATTAGCGATAATCGCTCCTCCATAAAGGTCCGAATCACTTGATGAGTTTGTTAACTTGTAGCTTTTCCCTGTGATTTGGTTTCTTTTCACATAGAAAATCTGAGTGAGCTCCAAGTGAACCAATATGCGTGACTAACAACCATGTGAGAATGTTCTATCCTATTGGCCAGATGTGTCTGGGGTGGGAGCAACAAAAGTAAATACAGGAAGAAGGGCCTGTGTTCTGGATTATTTGACAACATGGAGACTTGACATTCATTTCACAGATAGTTGCTAGCCTGTAAAGACCCTCTGCACATCTATAGTACCTTGCTGCATCCCAGAATGCAAGGCTTATGTGCTTATGGGACTTTTTTTTGTCTGTAAAGGTTCTCAGACATCCAGGTCATTGTACTCCAAGGAGTTTGGAAAGAAGAGCCACCTCCATGGGACAAGACTCGGCTGTCCATCTACATCTAAAAGAAAAAAGTAACTCTTTCGAGGATGGCAATGTTCACATTTTGGACAGAGATGGTTTGAAAGAGGAGTGAAAGAAGCCATTAATGTCCACTGTGAACGACCACTTGATAGGGTGGGGGTTAGGTTTACAATGAGCTCACCCAAAACCTTGGCTGATTGTGACCTACACCCGTCTTAACACCTTGAGTCGTCTGACTAGGTAGAGGATCATTAGGGGGTCCATTGTCCCTCTTGGGGGGACACTCCCACAGGGCTTACATCTGGGACTCTCCACCCTTTAACCCTAGAACTGAAGAAGCTTCTCGGATGAGAGGTGAAAAATCTTCAAGCAACTTAAAGAAGTGTAGACGTTGTTCTTTCCAAACTCCTTAGAGTAGCTGTGAAAACGCCCTAAGAAGTGGTGTGTGTCCACCTATCATTACACCTCAGCTTAGAACTCCCAGTCATTACAGTACTTGTCTATTCGATGAACTCTGATACACTGTAGCAAATAATACCAAATGTATGCGTCTGAAGCACAGACAGGCCACTCACCTGTGTTTCTTCATGAGATCTGGGCTTCTCACACCTCGTCAGTGATTTCCGGATTCTGAGTAAACCTGCTACCCGAGCCACAGTCTTCTTCATGAAGCTGATGACGACATCTGAAAGACAGGACACCACAAATCACGATCACCGAATTCCACGTCAGGAAGCAAAAAATATTAAGCAGTTTTATTTTCTAACAAACCTCTTTTGCGTCTTTTCACTTCGACTTGCTCACTCTGGCAAACACTCTCTGCAACATGCACGCTGTAACAACAGAAAATGGTTCGAAATGAGTGGTTTTCAAAAATACATAATCTTGCAAAGTAAGAGATTAAAAAAATAAATAAAAAATCTCACGCTACCAGCTGTGGCAACCTTTTGTGAATAAGAGCGCAGGGGAAATGTAGCTATTAATTATGAGGGGATTTCTTTTTGTGTTCTTCTTGAATTCTAATGAGGGTTTAACATCCATTAACCTGGAGATAATTTGGCAATAGTTTCAAAGGCCATCGCAGATTCGGACAGTCCAAAGTGACGAGTTCAAACATCAATATATTTGCACAAAACCCAAAGATATTCACTTTCTATGAGATAAAGACACAATTTGCATCAACAAATGTTTGAGAAACTGAAACAAGGGTTTCGAATTTATTCATTAGCATTTTTATTTATATACCAGTGACCATACATATTAGCAATGATGCATTCATATAAAATGCAACCAATGCTATGTACACAGGAATTCTAGCTACAGCTAATTTGCAGGCATTGGCCCCAGTAAGGTTTTTAAGCCACAACCTGTCAGTACAATCATAAAAAAAAAAAAAAAACAGCAAGAAAAGACCCATTTCTGTGAGACAGACCTTTAACTGTAAAAGAGGACTGTATAAATCTTGTTCTACGTACTGGTAGCTTGGAGTGATCACTAACTGCTCCCACTGTGGGGGGTGCTTTGCTGCTAAATTTTAAAATACTTTGACTAAATTACGCATTTACGGCCATTCACAAATTGCAAAAATAGATTTCAAGAAAAAAAAGTATCCAATTCTCAGAGTTTAACATATACTTTTTTCTACCAACAAAATTTACAATGATGCCAATGTATTTGTTTCTTTTCCAGTCTTTCTAGAGCTTGTTTGTATACTGATAGTATATACAAACTGCTGACTGTGCTGCCTGAACCCAAACAAAACCATGCAGATATCATTGGGCGACCTTTACTAGCAGGCTTACAAAATCAGTTAAAATTACTCTCAAGTCTGCTGTGCTACAGCAGTCAAAAAACGACAAGCTACTGGATTTAAATAGGATTTTAAACAAAAATAAATTAATATTGGAACGGTCATAATAAATAGTTTTAGACTACTTCTGCTTTCGCTATGAGTGTACTTGATATTAAATGTCATGTGGGTGTCCACTGATACTGTTACAAACATACTGTCAGCAAACTTCAGTAAAATAGTTTTTTAAAATTCACCTGCTGTGAATAAACAAATTCCATCTAAAGTTAACTCAAAACTTAATGTTAGCTAGCTGGAAGGGTGAATGAGTGCCCTCAACAATCCAAACAAATCATTAAATGGCCAACGAAGTGTGAACTATTTAGGACTAAAAAAATATAGACCATTTTCAATCACCGACCTCTGGTAGTTCCGTTTAGCGGGTCTGCAGTGACTCTCCTGCCGCCAAGCTGCTGTTTTTACGCCTGGTCGCGTGGGTACCTCTGCGCTAACGCTACCTTTCTCAGGCCACTCCGTGGGGTTTTGCCCCGTAATGGGCTCAAACAGCGACGAGAATCCGCCAAGTATCCATCCATACATCCCAGACAAATACGAGAAAATTGTAGCGAGGTTTTCAATGCGGTCCAGGACTATTTCTCCACAGGCAAGATGTCAAACCGCAATCTACGACACACCGCCCACCATTACCTTAGCTTAGCATTAGCGTCGCTGTGATGAAACGCCAACAACGTCCGTCATTCCGTGTTGACGTTCTGCGAAGGGCAAACGTTTTATACACCAAAACAAAACGAATGGGCGGTGTTCTAAAGTGTAAAGTCTAAAGACGACAGATAAAATACTAAACATAAAGCATCGTGGCGGAGATAATAAACAAACGAACCCCTGATCACGGAGTGGTATCTTTGGCAGCTTTCTCATTAGCCTCTTCTGACTTGTTCAGGAGAGCAAGTGGGAGAAGTTAGAGCATAGATTTCTTTATATTTATTTAAAGATTAGTTTCATTTAATCTAAACCACAATTTCAGCGTTTACTTACTTCTTACAAAGCTTTTTTTTGGCAGAAAGTCCTGATGGCAAACCTCTAGCATAGGTCCATTCTTTGTTACATAATACTAAATCAGCATATCGATTGCGAGTTAGAAGGAAAAAAAAGAAAATCCCAAATACCTCAGTTTTCTTACCTCTCTCAAATGTGGCCGTCATTAATTGTTAATTTAGTGGCCGACGTTTCTGTTACTAATGTAATAAATGTGTATTTAAAATCCCTATTTTTGTAGAAAATTCAAAGAGACCAAAAATAAAATCACCCAATTAGAAGTTCCTTACTGACTGGATTTACCTTTGTACAGCTTTAGTATACCAAAATGCTCACTGCTTTACTCTGTGCACTAAAGGCTTCCTGTTTTAAATAAACTCTTTATTAAGCCTAACAGTGGACTACAAACAGAACTAAAACACCCCACCATTGTTCAATATTTATCAGTAGACCTGTGTTGAGATTTTGCAAGAAACACTCCATCTGGTTCATAGTCACACTTAATTTATTTACTTTATGATAAAAACAACATGGACGTGGTTTACATTTTTGTAATGGTGCACAAGTTTTGTAGATCTTAGACTTCGAGTATAAAACTAGTGCATTTAGTAACATGTGTGGAGAACATTAACACCATTTACAGAGCACAAAAAAAAGCAAACAGTGTTTGAGAAACAGTGTATAAAGAGTGACTTTCAAAATATTGGCAGTACACAGGATAGAAAAATTACCCCCAAAAAATAATTAAAAAATAATTTAGTATAAAAGTCAGGAAACTTATAATTTCTATACATTTCTACAAGATGTAAGGCATGAGCAGTTTTGAAACAATATGCAGGCAGATTCAGTCTTTAGATTTCAGGCTACTTTGGATCAGGCAGGAGACCAGATGAACCTACAGAAAGGGGAGAAGAAGAAAAATTAGATGCAGCAACAAACAACCTTTAATCACAGACTGGCACCTTACATAAATAGGAACCAAGCTAAAGTTTAAAATGGTCTTGACTAGAAGTTCCTTTCAGTAAACGTAGTAGTTATTTAGTAGTTGTCCAACTAGTTAATAAACAAAATACTTGACTTTTAAAATTATGACAATGTACTGAAAAATAGCACTGACATAATTCTTGTTGTCAGAGAACTGCATCTCTAGCTCTAAGACTAAAAGCAGTAAGGCACAGGAGCATTGATGGCGAAAGTTATGAGATAAGTAGATGAACATGTGTTCCCTCAAAATTTCAGAGTGCACCTCAAAACAGTTCAACATTTACACAAACACGAAGTTAAATAAAACAAGACATAAAAACAAATGTAGCTGAAATGGAATAAACTATTCCACTCAGTGACTTCATGCTCTGCAGGGTTTTGCATCCACGTTATGCATCTACTGCACCAGCTTCACCTCTTTACTGGGTTATACACATACAGAGCCACCTGGGCTTCAGACATTGTACTCGATGTACCTCCTTTGTTCTACTTTTCCAGATGCATTCGACTCGTTCACCGTGTTGACAGGAAGCTCTGCCATGTGCTCAGCCACGGTTTAAATCCTGAATCATCACTTATTATTGCATCATCATGCCTCAGTATCACATTTCTGACAGCTTAGCTTCTCACTGCATTGATAGCCAAATCTCATAGCACACCACATGACATGTCTCTCAAAAATTATTATTTAATACGTTTGAATTAAATTTTATAGAACAACCCTGCAGGACATGCACAGTTCCAGACCAAAGTTATCCCCTGTAATACACTGTGCTTGGTGACTAGTGACAAGTCAGTCCCTGAGCACTGTGCTACTTTATCCTTCAGTGGAGTGAGTGTGTTACACTCACACTCACCTGGCCCATATAGGTAAAGGGGCGACAAGCAGCTCAGGTACAGCCAAGTCCCGTTCTCTTGCAGCCAGTGCTGCCGATAACCAATCATACCAGGGGAACAGGGTGACTGTAGTTTCCTTTCCTCTTTGGGGGGTGGGGATAAATGAGTCTTGTTTACTAGGTTGGAAGATGATAGAGCACATAGGTTTTGTGGGATGTGGAAACAATTTTATTTCATTTTTTTAAACCAGTATGGTCCCAGGGGAAAAAAAAAAATCTGAATGGTTAACTGACTTGCACCAGACTAATGGCTATAAAAATGCATAGGAAACATCTCCCAGAAACAGGGTGATTTATTTAGGACACATGCACGAAGCACCAGGATCAGCTCACACAACATTTATCTTTTTAGAGGGTTGCTAAGTCACACAGTCAGATTCACAAATTCTTTCAATGGCAGACAAAGCAGACTAGAATGCTCATGCCTGCAATACATTTTAACAGATTTTTCAGGTACCTGGGAGTTTCTTCAACAGCACAAAGTGCATTTATATATGCAAAAAGCCTTTATGTAGGGAACCAGCAAGCTTTTGCTTCCCAGGCAAAAGCTCCCCGGCATAACTCCTTCAGGGTTATGTCGGGGAAGGGCATCTGGCATAAAACCTTGCCAAATCAAACATGTGGAGCAACCTGCTGTGGTGACCAGGGAGCAGCTGAAAGTCATTATAAATTTAATTTAGTCCTTTGTCAATAAAGCAGTCTCGTGGCTGGTTGGTTAATTTGGTGTAGGGCACTTCCAAGAGAGATAATTGTGTGACTCTTTCCTCCCTTTTCCATGTTTACAAGTATTGTCTTGTGTTCTTTAGAGTGTACTGAAAGTACACTTGGGCCATTCCTAGGCTACTATTGTGTAGTCTGATACTGGTACAAGTGCTATATCCCAGTGCCCTGAAACATCTTCCAGTATGATATTCAAATGAATTAAGTGCTCAGAACCCCTTAAATTGTGCTCAATAAGGCAAACCCAATCCTGTCAGTGTTGAGCTATTTGAAGACCATCACCACAGTGTTTTCTCTCAAGCCTGTGCACTGCTCAATCTGTCATGGTTTGCTACGGCCAAGCAGACATACAGCAACAGTGTTCCCACCTGTAAACCAGTGAACTTACCATTAGGGATACACCCTGTGTTTGCAGTGAATACATTATAACCCCCCTTCTCCTTTCTTTGTTATTCTAAATGCTACTCACCTTGCTTGGCTCCCACCAACCGCTGCTGGACTTTCTCTAGATGACGGATATATTCTGTCAGGGATTGTTCTGGATCCTGAGCTGTTCCACCTGATTGTACAGAGGCCAAAGGGGTACTGGAGTGTGACCTGAAGAGTATAGAAAGCGTACTTAAGAAGACGAAAAAAAACCCCAAAACTAATTGAACCCCCAAAATCTGCTAAGCGAGACCAAACCTGTGGCGCAGCCTGAAGGGCGATTTGCTGGGTGGGACGAGCGCTGACAGAGTGTCTATGTAGATGGCGCTGCTGTCTCGGATCTGCGTCGGGTCAGAATTTGATCTTGGCTGCTGCTGCCTTAAAACTTCAGCTTTAGGCCCTGCCAGGAACGATAAAATTAAATTACCTATGCACTCATACTCACTTGGATAATACATGCAAGTCTAAATTATGTAGACAGAGCTGACCTGGAGCATGCCCATTGACAACCCCAGTTGATAATCTTCGGATTGCTTTCTGCCATTTCCTCGTCAGGAACCTCATTCTGAAAAAGTGCATGGAATTAACTAATAATCTCTGCCTTCCAGGGAATACAACTAATACGTATATTATGATACATTTCTTACCTTGAGACCGCAATTATGACTTGCACTGCAGCCCTAAATCGTCCGAGGGGTCTACGCTTGGAAGAAATTGGGGGTGAGGGTCGAGCTCCCATGTGAGCGATAAGACACAGCGTGGCTTGTTCACACTCCTGGAATCCTCCTATCAGCAGCAGCAAGTAACGCTTCTGGTACACCAGAGCTTTCCTGAAGCTCTCAGCTCGCAGGTAGCGCTCATAGTAACGCTGAAGCTGCAAATCAAGCAAACGCTGTCAACATTTCATCCCTATACAACCAACAGTATACAGTGAAGCCAGAAATGGCAATTAGGTCCTTTGGAGTCAATATCTGTTCTTGAAAAGCTGTTGCAAAAATGGTTATTACACCCCTAATTTATCCTGATGTGCTACCTACTGACCTTGCTCTGGCTGGATATGTCGTAGACAGGCCTATTTTCGGTTTCCGCGGTGACCTTGGCGAGCTCATTCTCTGTGCGGCGCAGCTGTCGCTCCAGGCAGGTGAGTTTGTGCTTGAGAGTGGCCCTCTCCTGGCTCAGTGATGTCACACGCTCTGTCAACTCAGAGTTCTCCTTCAGTAACGTCTCCAACAGGTTGGAAGACGACTTGGACGGCGTCTAAGGTGAGAAAAAATTCATTTAGCAATGATTACATGTGCCAAAATGTAATCCTAATGAAAAACTTTGTCACAATAGTTTGGATTCCTCATAGGGATTAAGGCACTTGAATACCTGCTGGTGCTGCTTTAACACTCCTGCCTGGCCACCATCAGTATGGAGGTTGGTGTGGGGGTGCTGGAAAGGTTCAGCTTCGCGTTGTTGTCCCGCTGTTCGTCCAGACAGGCGCTGAGCAGCCATCTCTCTCTCGTCTCTTTCCAGCTCTGCCAGAGTGCGCTGCAGCTCCTGCATACGCTGCTGGTCCTGCTGCCTCAACAACTCCAACTCACACTAAAGTCAGAAATGTTCACAATGATGTGTCTTTATGGATTTGCATAGGCAGTGAGTACACTAGAGAAGATTTTGGCTGATGCATCTTACCAGTTTGCTGTTGATCCTCTCCTGTCGCCTCTCTCTTTCCATCTGCTCTTGCATCTCCTTCCTCTTTTCCCTTTCCCACTGCTCCTCCCTCTCCCTCTCTTTGTCCTTCAGCACTCGGAGTCTCTCCTTCAGCTCTGCGAGTTCCACCCCTTGGCGCCTGGACTGCTCTCGCTCCACCTCTAAAGCCCGGTTTGCTTCCTGTTTCTGCTCCTTCACAGTCTCAATTGTGATACGATTTCGGGTGGCTGCTTCCTGCTCCTTCTGAAGCTCCTCCCTCCTCGTTCTGTCCTCTTCTTCCCATCGCCTCCTGCTCTGTAGTAGCTCTGCCCTCAGTCTGTCCGCCACAGCTGCCAACTCCTCCCCTTGCCTTCGCTCTTGCTCTAGCTGGGAGCGCAAGTCCGAGATGAACTTCCTGTCTCTTGCAGCGTCGGCATCATGTCTACGGCTGAGCTCATCCACCTGCCTGGAGCAGCGGTCTTGCTCTTCATCAAGCTTCCTGTGAGAATCTGCAAGCTTCGAGTGAATTTCAGTCAAGCGAGTTTCTGCTTCAGTCAGCAGGAGCTCCTGACGAGTCTTTTCTTGCAAGCTGAGCTCTTGTTGGTGTGAAGAACGTTTGCGTTCATCTTCTAGCTCCTTCTGAGTGTCGTCCAGGCGTTTCTCTAGCAGCAAACAGCGGGACTGTTCAATCTGAAGTTCTTGTCTCAGGTTGCTACAGGCCACCCTTTCCTGCTCCACCTGCCCCTTTAGAGACATGACCTCTGACCTCAGCTTCTCAGAAGACACCTGTACATTCTAGACAGAGTACATCGTGTAAAAACACAAACATTGGGTAGTGATGTTACAAATGTAGCGAACTGAAGTTTTCTGTACGAATAGAAAATTTTAGTAGTGTCCATTTTTAGTGCTCTCTTACCTCTCTCCTTTCCTCCTCCTCCCTTCCTATACGCAGACTTAGAGCCCTCTCCTGCTCCAGTTCTTGTTGAAGCTCACACACTCTGGCCTGCTCTCTCCTCAAAGCTTCCTCAGCCTCTTCTATCGTCAGCCTGAAGAAAATTGGTAATTTTCAACTTTACCATAGTTACATTGTAATAGGTTAGACTAAAACATAAAAAAAAAGTTTAGGAAAGGGGCCCTTTAACATGCCTCAACAATGAAGTTGAAACCCATTTGATTTGCAAAACGCTGATTCACAGGGGAGGCCTGTTTAAGTGCCTGTATTCTGAGCGTGTAATACATACCTGAGCGACATCGTTTTGTTCTTCTGCTCTTGCTGAGCGTCATGTGCACATTTGAGTTGTTTCTGGCTCTCCTCCAGCTCTGCCCTCAGTTGGGATTCATCCCGTTGTTCAGTCTGCAGTTGATCTCTGTGCCAGTTACTGTCAACTCTGTCATCAGTCTGAGAAAGATGGTGGAAAAAAAAAAAAAATTATACAGATACAAGGTAAGTTAATGCACCATGCTAAGTTAAACTCATCTTACACCTGAATGAAAAATAATACCTTCATGCCAATAACCGATTTAGAACAAATTATCCTTTAAATAGAAGAAATTTTGAACCAGCGCTTGAAACTCACTTGTGAGTGTCTTTGTGCCATTCGACAGAGCAGCTCTCTGAGTGCAATCACAGTCTCCTGCAATGCCCTCTTCTCCTGCTGCCAGCTCATGGGAGGATTAGATGATTTATCTTGGTGGTGCAGTAGAGCAGAGCCATCTTCAGCATGATGCTGCGACAGACTCAGTGAGCAGGCTTTTAAGTCCAACACATGAGACTGTGCTGATGGATTGACACGACGCTGAGACAAGGTCAGAATTCTGCAGCTTTCTTGATAAACTTTCTTCAACAGTCCCTGCATGAAGAAAGACAAAGTGAAGAAAAATCTGGCTTTTTGTTACTTTAACATGTTTATCAATTGTGTGTGAAGCCTACCTGAAGCTCAGGTGACAACAGATCATCACTGTAGCTCATACTGCCCGCAGCACTGTCCGTGTTAGCGGTGGGGTCAACTCCTCTACAGCGGAGGTACTCAATAAACTGAGCATCCAGTCTCTCAGTCTGCTCCAACTCCAGTCTCAGCCTAGCACCCAGTTCTGAACTCACATCTGAATAAGAGGAGAACAGCGACGTTCAGCTGCCTTTATGCAGAATATCCAGATATACAAGTGACTCAAAATCCTCACAAGTCACAGGTGTCACAGTGTGGAAATACTCACTGCTGCCATATCCGTCACTGGCCCATTCGGGTGCCGACAAGGAAGAGGTGGAGCCAAGTGGTGAGGAAGGAGTCGTTAGGTCAAGTCCTTCCAATTCACGTACCTGTGAACAAGAAAACATAATAATCTGAGTTAGAACTGAAACCAAAAGAAATGAACACATGGTTTACATATCTGAGTTTGAACTACATACTTTATCGGCATCCAGTGAATCGAGGATGGAGTAGTTCTCAGACACTGACACAGAGCGTGGCGAGTGGGAACTCTGTGTAGCTGGGTCTGGGGTGATGGTCCTGGAGTGTGAAGGAGGCTCCATTACAACCCTGGGAGAGGGTTTGACCTGGGGGAGGTCCAGGCCTGTGTTATTCAAGCCACTGAGCTCAGAGGTGTGGAAACGTTCAGGGATTCGGTCCTCAGAGCACTCGAGTCTTCTTAAAACCTCCGGAGAGCTCAGAGAGTCTTCGTGGTGAGACACAATGTCCTCGAAAGCTCTGACAGAAATATCTGACAGTGAAAGAAAAAAAAAGATCAGTATGAGAACATGTTTCTGTTAAAATGTTCGGGGGGCTCTATAAATCATCATCATCATGTTTTAAACAAAGTTTGCATTTCTTATTTTAAAACCCCAATTCCACTATTCCTTGTAAACATAAAAGGCTAGGTCAAATAGATTTTCATTGTCATTGCTTTTTATAGGCTTGCACATAATCATAAATCAATATTTACCCTCATACAATCAGTGCAAAGACTTATTTAGTGCTCACCCTTATGTGGGTATCCCTGAAGTGTGTCCTGTTGGCTCTGCTGTCGGAGTTGCTGCAGCTCTCTCTGCTGATAGGCCAATTCCTCCTCCTGTGCAGCCAAGTCCTCCTGAACGCTTTGAAGTTCTGCCTTCAGTTGTTGGTTGTCCGCTTCAAGGTCAATGAGAGCACGATCTTTGGTCTGCCAGAGAAATGGTGACATGAAAACGCAGCAGTCAAGTTTCAAGCACTCAGACCACCACATTAATTAAAACCACTATACATCTTATCTGATAATGTGTGGTCCACTCCGATTCCCACCTGAACTTCCTCATGCAGTTTTTCAGCCCTTTCTGTACTGGTACTCAGACCCTGTCTCAGTGCAGTCAGCTCTGTCCTCAGAGCCTGATGTTCTTCCTTGAGCTTGGACAGCTCAACCTCCTTTTGTCTCAAGGCAGTGTCTGCTTTAGCCAAGGTCTCCTCAGCATGGGTCTGAAGTGGAAGAAAGACATCCACAGAAACATTAAGTGTCATATCACACCCCTTTTCCTTTAGTCCCCCCCAAAAAAAGAAAACCTACACAAACCTTATATAACCAGATTTAAACACTTTCAAATATAACGGCATTTTACTGAGTACAGTCAGTGCATGCATCTGTTGCATAAGCTGTAATCTTTCACTCGCATTACAAACAACTCAATGTAACATGAAGAGAGAAATTTGCCAAAAGCAGCTGTGAACTAGTAAAAAAACAAAACAAAAACCGAAAAACAACAAGCTCCGATAAAATGCAGAGACATGCTACAAACTAACCAGTGCATTAAAGAAGTCATGCTCTCTTTTCTTACCACATCCTGCCAAGTTAGAACAAAACACGAAAAACAAAGTGCAACACAGCTTTAAAAGCCAGTGCTACCAAAGATTTTCTTCCTGCTTCCTCTTTTTAATGTCACTTCCTCTGTGCGGGTCAAGATTTTGCTATATCTCATTGCTGCGCCACGTCACAACAGCAACGCCCCTAATTATAACCAGATGTGGTCCTGCGGCACAGCTGTATGCTTCGGAGGGGAAAGAAAAAGAAAAGCAGCAGCAAAATATTTCCTGTTTCGTACTGAGGCTTGTTTAAGTTTAAAGAGGTTGCTGGGCAACTGACGTTTTTGAAAAAGAACTCTTTTGAGTGACAATAAACAGATTTGTTCAGTGAAACTACTACAATTTTAAAAACTGAAGATTACAGCATGTTTTACTGCTCTGTTTAATGAAATACTCAAACCGCTAAAACATTGTTATTATATGGTTATTACAGATTTAATGATAAATTAAGCGATTCTTGTATAGCACTTTTCTACTCTCCTGCAGCACTCAAAGCGGTTTATACAAACGTGCCTCATTCACCCATTCATACAAGCACTTTTCTCCTACGCTGAAATGCTTTTAATCCAACAGTCACACATGTTCATACTCCAATGAATGCGTCAGACTAGAGCAGCCAGGGATCAAACCACCAACCTTCCTATTAGTACATACACACAGACAACAAACGTTTATGGGAGACAACAGAAATATGGCCGATGTATCCACAAATTAGACCATCACTGATGACAGATAGTCGTGTTCAAAGTGAATGAGCCAATAATAAGGTTTGTTCTTTAAAACTAAACCAACACCTACCAGCACTTCCTTTTGAGCCTCTTCTTGACTGGTTTCGTTTTCATTTAGCTTAACTGTCAGGTCCTGGATGAGGGCTCTCAGTGAAGTCACTTCCTGTTGTAGCTTTTCAATTTCCTCTTGGAGCTGGCCCTCTCTCCTCCTCAGTGCCTCACGTTCAGCAGAAAGCTCTCCCTTCACAGTCTCCAGGGTTTTAATTCTTGCCCTTTCCTGAGCCACCTGTTCCTCCATATCGACCACCTCTGCTCTTAGCTCCTGGACTTGTCTCTCAAGAGTGAGACTGCTTTCTCTGAGGATGTCCATTTCCATTATCATCTCCATCTCCTTTGTTTTTAGAGTTTCGGTCTCTCGCACCCTCTCCTCTTCATTAGTCTGGAGTTCCAAAACCTGAGAGCTGAGGCAGGTTTTTTCCTCCGCCTCTTCTGCTGGAACTTTCCAGCTGTTCCTCTCCTCCTCTGATAGCTTCCTCTTCTCCCTCTCCTCTTCTAGCTGGGCTGTGACCTCCTCCAGCTCACTTTCCTTCAGGGAGAGGAGACTTTGGATTTCATCTGACTTTTCTCTCTCAGCATTTAGCCTCTTTCCAAATTCTTCCCCGTGCCCTCTGTACTCTTCCTCCTGGGTGAGCAGTAATCGTTCCAGTCCCTCTTTCTCTGCCACTGCAGTCTCGAGTTGACTCTGAAGGGCCTTGATACGAGAACGAAGCGATCGGGAGGTGGTAGAATGAATCAGGCTGAGTTCATGCTTTAAGCTGTTTGGCCCCGCTTTCTTCTCTTGTTCTTGGATGGTATAGTTTTGAGGTTCGGGGCTGGGGGCGGGTGAAGGATTGATGCTGTCACCGTCCTGAGAGTCACTGACTTCATGCAGGTTCGGTCCCAGGGTGGCGAGTTCTGCCTGCAGCGTACTGATTACCTCGTGAAGGCGCTCCTCTTCTTCCTGTTTGTCTTGGCGCACTCTTGTGATTTCAGATTTAAGATGTTCCACCTGTGAGCGCAGATCTTCAAGCTCAGCTTCCAGAACCTTTTATCAGAAAACAATCAAAACGATTCCATTAAAAATAAGTAAATAAATAAATCATGGCCTCACCAGGTATATGCACTCAAATATTTAGTTAGTGTTTACACCGACCTTGTTATCGCTGGTATTCTCAAGTTCCTGTTCCAGTCTTTGGATTTCACTGTTGAGGTGGTCGATCTCGTGGTTTTTCTCCTGAAGAAGTGCTGAAGGGAGTGTCTCTTCATCCATTTCATCCTCCTTGCAAAGTTGCTCATTTTCCTCCTTAAGTATCGTCAGGTCAGACACATTTTCCTGGAATTGGTGGTGCATTATCAGTTATCTTCGGATTCAACTGTTTTTCAACTAACCATAATGAGTGTAACTAAGGAAATATTAAATAGAGAAAAAATAAATCTGCTGCAAAACCAGAAAAACTGATATTTAAAAAACAAAAAAATGTTATCGATGTGCTTTAAACTGTAAAAACCTGTGATTCAAGGTACAGGGTGCAGTAGTGCATTTTAAGAGAACTGCTAGTGTTAGCTCAGAGCAGCAGACACAAAATAGTCTCCCATCTCCACTGCTTCACTCAGTCACATTTAAAAAAAAAAAAAAAAGTTCAGTCAGGCTTTGTTTGGGTGTAGCAGTCTGACGTAGCAGGCTTGATAGAAGTTGATGTAGCAACAAAAGTAAATGCAACAAGTAATCATCTTACTTTTATCAGCCATGAAGTGTGCAAGTAAGCTAAGGCTACAGTAAAGTAACAGCAGGAAGGGAGGAGACTCACAAAAAAAGCAAGTCTTCAAAAGCTGAGATGACAATATAATTAAGGCATAAGTATTATTTGCTGCAGTCATGGTTTTACATAAAAGTACAACTTATTGAACTGTATAGTGTAACATATTTTAGGTCAGTTACATTGTTTAGTCATCTGAGAAACACATCCCACTTCTTACCTTCAGGGCAGTAATTTGCTCTTGGAGCTCATTAACATGTGCTGCATTGGAATTAGTCAGCAGCTCCAGCTGTAGTGTGAGGTGTTTTACTTCAGCTTCCTTTATATTCAAGTCTCTCTGCACGGTCTCCAGCTGGCCAAGCAGAACCTCAACCTAAGAAATGCAACGTAACTATTTAAATCAAAACCAAAATACAATTTTCAAGTTCTGCATTTGCTGATAACTAATCAGACTGATGGCTTTAAAAGATTGACTAAGACATCACAAACATTTTTCCAACCAAAAGGTGGCAGCACAGCAAAACGTGTCAAACAACAACCGCCACCTCACATCAGCGCAAATCTTCTTAGCTACCAAATACTAGCGTTACATAAAATCTAACAGACCTCCTGCTCTTTGCTCTGTAGACTCTGTTGAGCAGTGTCTAGGGCATCCTTAAGCTCCTGGGTGGGGTCACGCATGTTGTCATGGTAACAGTGTCTCGTCTCATCCAGTTTGGACTGCAGGGCTGAGATCTGAAGCCTGCTGGACAGCTGCTGCTGCTCTAGTGCCTGTTTATCCTGACAAAGAGAGCGAGAGCATCAGTTAACTCTTGAGGGAGGATGCACACCAACACTTCACCTGAACTCAAAGTGTGCACTTTGCCCTTACTTGTGTAAGCTCCTGCTCTCTCAGCTTCGCTTTTTGAAGTTCTTGTTCCAGTTGACCGACGCATCTGTTACTCTCTACACTGTTGAGCAGCGCTTGCTCCAACTCTCTGATTCGACCGGCCAGCTTGTCTATCTCCTCATTGCGTTCTGCAAGATCGCGCTGGGCTTGCTGACAGGTTGCAAGCAAAGAAGAATAGTCCTCGGTCTTATCTTTGATAACACCTTGCAAGCTCTCAACCTGCAGAGGCAGAAAGATTGATTCAGTTTCAGGGTTTTAAGATGGAAAACTGCAAATTTAAAACAAGCAAAAACAAAAACAAACAAGTCAAAGAACAAAACGCTACATGATAAGATGCTTTAAAAAAAACAAAAACAAAAAACAAACACAGCCAATCCAGATCTGCAGCCACTGGTTGGGACACTGAATTTAAGCCATTTCAGAGAGCAGCAACATGAAGATGAAAGACAGATGACGTGTGAAAAAGATGCAAATGAATATTAGCAAATGGACTACTGAATACTAATGAATGCAGAACCTATAACCAGTACATAAGCACTACAAAAAAAGATGATGCAAACCACACACACACACACACACACCATGCATGACAGAGAGCTAAGACAAGCATGCTACAGTTAGATTTCATACCTGCAGAACCAAGTCCTCAAACTACAGCAATCCATTCAGCACAGGGATAAACACATGGCAATAGTCAGGCTCATTGGCAAACACCACATTCATCACTTCAACACCAGTAACACTATGTACTCCACAGCTAACTTGCAAACAGTAATCACACCAAACACAAACACTACAACTGCGACACACTAGAAACAGAAACATTTTGTTTAACAAATTCTGGTTAAATACATCGTGCTTCAGTATTTATGGGTAGATATAAATCAGAGCATTGAAATACTTTAACCTGTGTTTAAATCACAAAACATTGCACACAAAAAAAAAGATGTCTGTTGTTGAAGCCAACAAAACAATTGATCCAAACACAAGAGTTTTAACAGAGCCTATGCCTGTGGTAATGAATTTGAAATTTAGGCCTAATTACAGGATAGCAGAAGATCTGATAAGACAATGTTTGAAGGAAAAAAAAAAAAAAAGAAGAACAAAAGCTGCTGTTAAGGTATTTCTGTTTTGGGTTTAAGAAATGCTTTGTGACCAAATCACAGGCTGAGAAAAGCTGTAATATTTACAGACACACACAGTTAAGTGCCTCACCTGGTATCCTTTATTATCCACACTAGGAGTCTGTCTGAGCTGGGCCTCAAGCCTGCGGATCTCCTGCTGGAACTCATCCCGCTCGTGTTCACGTTCCACAGCCTGCTCCTATTATAGAAGGCAACAAATTCAGTGAAAGCCTGTCCGCTGCGTTAAGCACCAACTTGGAAAATAGTCTATGACACTTTAATAACCTTGGAAAAACAATCAAGAAAGAATCCATGATATCCAAATGCAAACAAACCCAAAGATTACACACCAGTTTAATTTGTCAAGCCTCACCTCGATAAACTGCCTGTCATGTTTAAGCTGCTTCTCCAGTGCTTGGACACGCTGGTTGAGGTCTTCAGTGTGGGTCTTGTGGTGCAGCTCCGTCTCCAGGCCTCTGGTTTCCTGCTCCTCGAGCTCCCTCTCCAGAGTCCGGAGACGAAGGGACAGAGAGCGGTGGTCCTTCTCTGCCTGCCGCTGCAAGTCCAGCCTATCTTGGGACAAACGATCAGTCTCTGCCAACAAAGCTTGAAAAATAAAAAGAGGAATTAAAGTCAGTAAAATTGTTTTCATTTAGTTAAATTCAGAGGAATTTAAAAAAAAAAAAAAGCAGAGGCATAATATGAGTGAGGTTAAATACTGACAATTCAGCATAATCTGCCTAGAGAAATAGAACAGCAAATGACAGCACTCCAAGATGCTTTGCCACACGCTATTGGTAATTGCAATATTACAAAAAGCAACCTCACAGCACTGCAAATATACTGCATATTCATCCCCACTCCCTTCTCACACACACTAATACTCCACTCTGACCCACAAACCTGCGTCAGGATCTAAATTGAGCCAATGGCCTACGGAGAGAAGACACGTCTGAGCACAGACATTATATAAGCGCACAGTCAAACTCACTAAAGAGGTCATGTAGCATTTTAGGCAGACAAATTATTTCATGTTTTTGTACTCCCTCCACTAACCTTTCTCTCTCTCCCCAAGTCCAGCAGAGAGATGCTCCTTGTGTCGCAGGAGGATGGCATGCTCCTCAGTCAGCTCATGATGCTTCACTCTGAGAGTGTCCAGCTCTGCGGTAAGGCCCTCCATCTGGTGTAGCTTCACCTTCAGGTCCTCTAGCTCCTCCACAAGCCTCTCCTCTTGAGTCTCCTTCTGCTGTAGCGACTCCTCTAGGGCTGCTTTTTCAGCCATGTAGCCTTCAAGAAGACCTGAAGAAATCATGCAAATGGTACAAGTTTATTTAAAAAGGGAACGACCTCAAAGACGACTGAGCGTCACAAACGGCAGAGCTGTTAAACTTTGGTGCAAGTGCTAAATGTGCAGCATAATCAGAAGACAGCAGCAGTATGCCAAACAAAGACATAGTGCTCACCTTCTGCTTTGTGAAGCTCCACCTGGAGCTGACTTTTAAGCTTGGCCTCCTGATCAAGCTGCTCCATTAGACGCTTGTGCTGTTCAAGGAGTTGTGCAGAGTCTTCTCTGCCTTGAGAAAACTTTTCCTCCAGAGAAAGATGAACACTGTGAGTTTGCTCCAGCTGGAGAAATGACCAGCATAAAATGATCAGACACCTTGCAAGGCTGGAAAACAGAAAAAAAAAAAACCTATGCGGACTGAGGAGCATCTCTACTTCCTTTACCTGTGTATTGGCTTGGTTGAGCAGCTCTAGCAGTGTGTCCACTGTATGTCGAAGTCTGCTGCAAGCACTTAGAGCTGCTTCTTCTCCACCAGGACTGATCTCACCATCTGAAACCAGGAGACTCTCACAGAGCAGATGAGTGAGCTCCAATTCCTCTGAAGACAAGTCTGCAACTGAAATACCTACGAAAGAGCAAATTAAGTGTTTTTAACCAATTCTCACATGAATTACACTAAAAATAGTCATCCTTGGTTCCTTTAGAAATAAAGCAATTTTCAGTTAATCCCCAACAAACACAAAAAATCCTAGCATTTATTGTAAAATTATAGAATACATCAGTCAGACCTGATTCTTGTGCCTCTTTGTTCACGCTTGAGCTCCTTTGGTGAGTCGCCTGCTCGGACGTTTTGGCTCGGGCACTGATCTTTTGTCCAATCAGTTCTTCTGTTGCCACGATGCCGCGGAGCATCTCGATCAGCACCTGCCTCAGCTTCTCATTTGTACGGTGTAATTTGCATCTGGGTTAACAGGTACACAGAAATGAGAACATTCAGGATCTGCGAAAGCTCAGAGCTGCTGCTTAAAATATGATTATAATAAATATTAACTACACAACTACATGCACACCTTTCCTCTTTAGCTGTCTGTAAGTCATCAGTGAGCATCTTAAGAAGGTTCCCTCCCTCCTGTGTCTCTCGCTCCCTTCGTTGAAGGAGCGTGTCCATGGTCTCCATTTCTGCACGTTTTCCTTCCAGCTCTCCCTGCAGGCACCCGACCTCTGCCCGCAGCTGTTAAAACGAACAAAGATATCTTGTTAATTCTCCTTACACTTGTGACCAACCTTTAGTTTCTCACCTATGCCATGGCTTGTTTAAAACCTGTGTGCAGCTGAAACCCAGAGAGGACAGAAGTAACAGACTGAAGAAAAAAAAAAAAAGGGCATGGCAGGACCGCTAAACCCAAAACATAATAAAAAGACTGAAACACTGGTTCTGCACCATCCAAGTCTATCTGATTAAAGCCTCTGGGTCTTAACAAGGGAAATGGGAAAACCAAAAAATATCCAGATCCAAAAGCATAACACAGAAGACATTTACAAGGCTCAGAAGGAAATAAAAACCAGCTGTTGATTGTAAATATATTGAATACAGACTTTAAAGAGAAAAACATTTTAAAGTATATAATATCAAAGGTGTCTGATGTTAAGTACCAACCCAGTACGGTGACAAAATCCAACATCAGGGCGTCAAACACTCAAAAGCTGGAAGAGTTTTCTTGCATATTGGTTGTAAGCGTCCTTACCCTTCCTTCCTCAGCCTCTGATCTCTCCCTCAGCTTTCACCATGTTTTCCCTCCTTTTTCCCCTCCGCTCCCTCCCACAACTGCATCTCATGCAGTCACCTGCCTCACCAAAACAATGCTGTAGCCATGACAACAGCCCCCTCCCAACCTCTCTTAAGCGCTCCTTTTTAACCTCGTGGGGGACACAAGTGTGACCATCTGTTAATATCTCACTACAAAGAGTCAAGCTAGACAGGTGCCATGGAAACAAATATATGCAAACACCAATCAGTCATGAGACCGATCAGTTTGTGAAATCCAAGAACGGGACTGCAGGTTTGAGGAAATATTAATGCAGGTAATATCGCAACTGCCTTGTTACAACCCTAGAAGATAACCAAGACCAATCCAAAAAAAAAAAAAAAAAGTCAGTGAGGATAAATTATAAACCCCAAATACATAACTGAATACAGTTATGTGCCAGGACATGATTTATTATTATTGTAACTGCTTTTTGAAACTGTCCAAATGAGGTTACAAAAATGTGAGACAGAAAAAAGTCATTTTCTGAAGATCAGGGTGAAATCAAATACTTGCTTTACTTCGGGGGGGAACAAAACAACAAAAACAAAAAAGCCAAAGCAAAAGCAGTAAAACTGTTTTTCTGTTGACCTACTAATCGATTATTCGACTAATGCTTTTAACCTTAATCTGAAAAAACAAAAACACCAGATTGGTGATTTTATTCATTAATATGTTCATCTTCCACAGGATACCATCTGATATATGGTGAATAAGGAAACTAACCTACAGAGCCACAGTCTGTATATCCCTCACTCTTTGCTTTAGTTTCCAAATCATTTCATCTCCTCAGTCCTCTTGTGGACCTTTTCCCTTCCTTCAGTATAAATACAACATTTTTTCTGTCCACTTCGCCCAGTTAGTCTTGCCTCCCCCCCCCCTTAAGTAAAAACAGCTATTGTCAACCTACCCAAATTAAGACTTCATAGATATAGTTACATGCATGACTGGTACCTGGGCCACCACAGCATCTAGTTGCTGCAGCTGGGCAGTGAGTTGACTCATTTTCTCCGTGTAGCTCCGCTCTTTTTCCTCTTGTTCAGACGTGAAGCTCCGCCTCAGGTTTTCAAGCTCCGCCTCCTTCTGCTCTTCAAATTCAGTCTTCAAAGAAAACAGTCATGTGTATAGATTAATTCAAAAACGCAGAGCAACAGCTGAAGTACACAGTAGGTTCATTCATTCCAGAGATCTTTGGACTGACTGGCTTATAGCTGACAACTGGCTTGCACATTTCAGATGGTAAAATGCTAAAAGTCTGGAGGGGGGAAGGGAGAAAAAAATAAATAAATAAATAAACTAACTTCAGCCTTAAAACCTTCTGCATCAGGGGATAAAAAGCTTAGATCCATCCCATTTAGCCACTGTTCAGATGGCAGCAACACAAACACATGCACGACCCATCAGCACACACATTCAGAGAACAGAGGGACAGACGGACATGAACACTTGTACATATATGATGGAGGGATTATGAGAAAACTGGGTTTGGATGAAGCCTCAGTGGGATAGAGTCCAACAGAAAAAAATATCCCTGGGAATGAACTGGTGCAGCTGAAGCTTAGAGAGGCCAATGGCATCACACACACGCTCCAAATAATCCGGAGCTATTGCATAATAATGTTTGAAAGGAGCTAAATAAAGAAACAAATATAGGGAATATCAATGTATTTTCACATGAACTGCTTATATGGAGAAACATGGCTACCTCAAAGGTGTTCAGCATTAATAAAGATCTTAATTGAAAGGATACTTCTAATCCTAACTGTTTCATATATCCCAAGGAGTTTTATTTTCCTCCTCTTACCTTCAGTTGATTAATCCTGTCCTGCAGCCGCTCTTCTGATTGGACTTTGAGGAGCTCCACCTCTTCTAGGAAGTGCTGTCTTTGCCTTGACGACTCCTCTTCAAGCTCCCTGCGACATGCCTCTAGTTCCCGTGCCGAGACTCCCTTCAGCTCCTACAGCAGACGCGTGTATATATTTAATACCGCAGTACTCCGTTAGTCAGAAGGTCAAATTTCTAGTGCTTCAGAGAAAACAAAATCCAAATAAATACTCTGTGCCTCTATGCAACAAATAGACCATTATGAAGGATTAACAATAACTGAGTGTAGTCCATTCACTAATGGGCTTTTAGAGCCACTGAAACAAGAACGGACAGGTAACCGTTAAAACAACCCGCAATTTAGAGAACAGGATGTTAATTCATGTGGTTTTAAAAAAGGAAGAGGATTTATGACAGACCTGCAGCTGGACTTGGTGCTGTTTGGTTAGTTGCTCTTTTTCAGCCGTGTAGGTTTGCGAGAGCTCCTGCAGAGCAGTGCTGTGTTGCTGCTCAAGCTCTAAAACCTGCAAAAGAAACAGATACAAATCAAGTCCGATTTAGAGTCTCCTGGTACTTAATGCACAAGACTAAGTTAATCAGATGAAAACAAATCAAATTTGATTATCCAGCCAAACAAACTTGGCTGTAATGCTTTTATTTTGGATTTTAACAAATCAGTTTCATAAAGTTTTAATGGCTTCAAGCTATGAATAACTGCCAACAATCACATTATATCATGTTTAAGCAGAGACCATCTGTTTGCCATAGTTACACATCTTTTTCAGAGATATTTGCATTAAAAATTAAAGGAAATCTGCAATTATATACTTATTGTTGTGACATTAAACCAGCCTAATAATGAGATGGTACTCAGCTATTTGGCTTTGAGACAGTGGAAAAACAAACATGATGTAGTTATCATGATGACTGGGCATGTACCTGGTTCTTGAGTGCTTCCAGGGCTTTGCAGTGTTCAGTATCCAAGGCTTCTTTTTGAGCAGCCAGTTCAGACTGTAAAAATAAAACATGAAAATAATGAAGAGGTGAAGGAGCAGTGGGAGACTCGTAATAATGATCCCTACTCTTCATTACTCACTTTGTGAACATGGCTGAGCTCGGCTGCCATGGCTTTAAACTTCTCCATGTGCACATGAGCCAGTTCTTTCCTCAGTTCTTCCCTGATGGACAGCTGCTCTGCAGTATGACGCTCTATTAACTGCTTATGTTCTGAATTCAGGAAAATCAGATCTTCGCGATGTTTCTCCTCAAGCTGAGCCATTTCATCACGTAGTGTCTGCAATTGTAAAGGACAAAGACATTAAAATCCACAAACAAACAGAGAAACTGTCTGTGGCTTCCATCTCCTTACTTGCACTTCTTTCAGGTAGGTGGCCTCCAACGTATCCATGTTACTCAGCATCCTCTTTTCTAGTTCATCTTTCTCCTCCTGGTGTTTAAGAGTCAATTCAGCTTCCAAAGCCTCTAACTTAGCACGATTAGTCTCTTCAAGACGTTCAAGGTCTTCCTTTAGTTTGGAACTGAGGGATGCTTCCAAGGCAACAAGCTCTGCATTATGCTTACATTCAAGCTCGGCTGTTTTAGCTGAAAGCTGATCTTTGTGAGAGGCACAGAGTGAATCTAGCTCTGCTTTGTGTTTGGCATTGAGTGCATCCATTTCTTTGGAGTGTCTGTTCAGTAGCGTTGCCCTCTCATGTTCCAGCTCAGCTTCATATTTGTCCTTCAGCTCTGCCACAGACTCTTCATATTTCTCGATTAAACGCTGCTCTACCGCTGCCTTTTCCTCTTGGAACCTGAATAAAGACATGAAAAAGTAACCAAGAAGTTAACATGTTTGAAGAGTAACTGAGACATTCCAATACCATGTTTCAGTTTTTGATTTACTACCATGTGGCCTGAGTTTGCAGTGCAGACCCTCACAGCAGTACAGCAAGAGAAATTGTAATTTTATTGAGTGTCCATTTCATTACAGTTTACCTATACAGCTGCAACATCATTGCTATGACAACCATATGCATTTGTTCCCTCCCGTATAACCCGAGACAAGCCTGGGCATGTCATGTGTCAGCCTCAGATTCAGTTTAGTATCTAAAAGGGAGTCATTTCAACAACATCCAACAAACAACAAGAAAACCCTTCGTGCTCAAGGTGGAAACAAACATGTTGCATCACTTGAAGCAGAAACACCCTTGAGTGCAGCAAGGCTAGAAAGGAGGAGATATTAGCAGCTGGTGATGTGTGACCCGGAGATAAATAAATCAGTCCACCATGCGCCACTGGAGCAACCATTCCTTGGTTGTACTGTGCAAATGGTCACTTCATATTACTGGTGCGGTTACAAAAAGCAGCGCCTTAGGCAGCTTATTAAAAAGCTACAACCAGGTAGAAAACATTTTTCAGTTTATTACGTGACAATTTTGGGCAGCTCCTGAAGAACCCTAGGTTTATATTTTTCCCTTATCACCAAAAATAATCAATATAATAAAAAGTTTCTTTAAATATAGCTTCAAAGCATTGTAAAGGGTATTTCTCACTTATTATAATCATTATTAATTGAGAAAAAAAAAATCATACACAATCAATATGATTACCTATTTAATACACTCTGGATTATACAATTTTAGCTACAATCAACACTCTTGAGCTCACCTCTCTCTGGCCTGGCACAGCTGCATCTCAACCTGCTCATGAAGCAGCTCTTTGAATTCTACAGACATGCAGTCCTTGGTCTTTTGCAGCTCTGCATCATTGGCCTCCACTTTCTGTTTCAACAACAGAACCTGTTGGCCTAGAAGGCAGACATTAAAAACTGATGGAGAACCAAAAGGTAGAGTCTGTATACAGTTTCCAAAACATGAGATCTGGCTAGAAGATGCAATTCACCAACATTTTTCTATAAATAAAAATTACACGAGTCCTGGAGATTCTTACTCTCATCATTTTCCAGTGCATCCTGAAGAGACTTCAATTTCTCCTTCTCCTCGTGAAGTGCTTTTTCAAGCCGTGCCTGCTCCGTTGCCATCTCATCATGGTGTGACCTCAGGACAGAGATCTCAGATTCATACTTCTCCTGCAGCTCTTCTTTCAGCTTGTTCATATTCTCCTGTGCTTGACTCCTCTCTAGTTCAAGAGCTTCCTCAAGACGGGCAAGCTGCTCAGCAAACTCTTGTTTCATCTGCAGTATTTTGAAGGAACATTAAATAGCTGTTACTAAACCGAAGCTTGTCACTGTATTATGAAATCAGTATTTTCATGCAACTACACCACCTGCTGCCCAGTTTTCTGTTTTTACTGTGTAGGATAGGTTTTAGTATGAAGGATTACAGAAATACCTTCTGCATGTTCTCATGCTGCTCGGTGAGAGCAGCCACTCTGTTCTCCAGAGTGTAGATGATGGTCGTTGCTGTTTGCAGCTCCTCAGTGTGAGACCATATCCTGTGTTCCACTTCAGCCTAATTATAACAATAGAGACATTCAGATTTTGGGCCAAACAATGTAATCTCATTAATGTAATCTCTTTGTTATCTATATTATTAAGCCTTCTTCTTACCTCAACTTGCATTGCTGCTTCCAAATGGACTCTGGTGAGCTCTACAAAGATATTCAAGTTCATTCATTTTGCAACACACACAGAAAATAAATGAATAAAAATAAAAGTATGTGAAGGACCTTGCAGATGTCTGTCAGAAAGTTTGGCTCCGAGTTGCTCAAGGTCCAGAGCATGACGAGTTTTCTTCTCCTGCAGCTCTTCATAATAATGATCAGTGAGGTCTGCGCGCACCTGATGTACAAGTTACAACATGCAGCAAGTTAACCAAAAAAACTTAGTGACAACAAGCAGTCACATATTAGGATGATATCACTTTAATAAAAGGCTGAACATATAAGTTGATGTCTGACCTTCTGCACCTCTTCCTCAAAGGAAAGAGTCAAAGAGGATCGCAGATTAGAAAGGTCCATTGTGTGTTTCGCCTCAAGCTGAAGTGTCAAACTGTCAAGGATTTCCTGGATGAGGCACAGGAAACAAAGCAGCCTCTCAATCAATTACACTTAATATGTATCGACTTAAAATGTAACCGACAGCAGCGCCCATTAAACATCTGCATCTCTTACCCGCCGTTTCTCCAGCTGAACAGTATCAGACAAAACATCTATATCCCCTTGAGCTTGACACTCAGACAGAGCACTGAAGCAGAGACCAAAGATGTGAATATTCACAAAAACATTTGTGCAAAACTGCAGAGCATGAATCTTATTTTTATATCCAGATAAAGTGAAATACCCATGATCAGTCATTTTAAGCAGAGAGTCCTCCAAGGCACCTTCTACCAGCTTCAGCTGTAGCAGAGCAATTTCCTCTTTGTGACTCTCCTCTGTTGCATGCAACCGCTTCTCAAAATACCTAAAAGCAGGATGAGGGTAAAACATGATAGAGTAGAGAAATTAAGCTAAATTTAAAGAAACCCATAATTCTGATGTCTGTTTACACTAAATGTTAATATTCAGGAATAAATGCATCAAAAAATTTGTGTTTTCAGGTGATTCTATGGTACCTCCTCAGGTTTTCTAGCTCAGCCTCATTTTGCTCTTTAATTTCTCGTTTCTGTTCATTAAACTCCATCTTTAGGCGTTCGATGTCATCAACCCGAGATGAGCGTGCAAGCAGCTGCTCCTTAAGCTCTGTAAAACAATAAAGAGACATCTATCATTCAATCACTAAGAACAGGCATTTCTAATAATATATCATGTTTGTTAGAATGTAAAGAAATCCAGTGTATGAAGAAAAAAAGAAAGAAAGAAAAAAAAAATCCAAGCTTTAGCCTGGTAGGCTTATTCATACCACCCAACTCCTGACGACTAGTCCTCATGCTCTCCAGCTGAGTCCACAGCTGACTGATTTCCTGATCCGAGCTCTGTTTGAGCAAGTTCTTCTCCTCCTGTAGCTGTGAAACCTGGGTGGCAAAGTTTGGAAAAATGTTTTTATGAATTTAAAAATAAATGACCCAACAGGTTTTAAAGATGTCAATATGTTTCAGGAAGTAATTATTATATTAATAAGTTGGTGTTTAAAACTTCTGGATACTGAGGGGGAAAACAAACAAACAAACAAACAAAAAAAAACCTTTACAAAACTAAAAAAGAAAAAAAAAAAGATTATCCTTTTTACTGTGACTTAAGACTTAGAAAGCTGCAGATAAAATGCATATTTAGGGTTGCAGTAGACCAGTAGTTCAAACTGCAGGGCATGCCCCTTTGGTGCTTGGATACATTTTTACCAGACTTTGTGGAACTGACCTGCGACAAGCCAGAAACTAACCTCTTGCTGCAGTTGCTGCTCCTTCTCCTGTAGGTGGAAGACTTGCTGCCCTTTCTCCTGCAGCAGTGTCTTATTAGAAGAAATTTCCTCCTCCAGGGAACCTTTTACAACAACATCATCACTCATCATTACTATGCATATATTAATGTAATACACAAATTCAAATCATAGATTTAGAGGACTGTGCAGCCTCTTTATGAAAGTGTATACTGTTGAGGAATATGGGGACTGTAGAAGGACTCACAGACAGCAGCATCTCTCTCAGCCAAGGCTCGTTTCAGCTCCTCTAGTTTCTGTGTCTGTTCTTTACTGGAGGTTTGGAGCTCCTCCATCCTGGCTTGTGTCTCCTGTACCTCTGACTGTTTCTGGGACACAGCTTCCTGTGCTTCAGCGAGGGAGGCCTGGGTGCTGGTGAGTTCAGTCTGGGTGGCACTGAGGCTGTTCTTAAAATTTGCCTCCATGGCTTCAGCATCTTTCTCCCACTGTGCTCTTAGATCCTGAAACAAAGTAAAACCAAAATGGAGTGAAATAGAATAATACACACAATGACAAGACAGTGCATGTTTTTAAAAGCCACAGCAGTTTTTTGAATTATAAAAAGCAACTTTTGTATAAAAATATAATGAAATTTCACCTGTATTTTTTTGGCCTGCTTTTCATCCATTGAAGCCCTTTCCTGAGCAACACGAGTCTCCAACTGCTCCTTCAACTCTTCTAAACACACGAGAAACGATTCTTTAGAAACCGGATGACTCAAACAAAGACAGCTAAAGAATGAAGATCATTGAGCAGCTGAGATGATCTTGTGTGTAATCACCCATGTCTTGTTGGTGCAGCTCAAGCAGCCTCTCCTGCTGCTCCTGGTTCTTCCTCTTGATCTGGTCCACCTCTGACTGATGGCGAGCCTGCAGGAGTGCAATTTCTTGGTCAAATTTCTCCTGCATAGAGGCCTGGACCTTGATGAGGGCAGACGTCTGCTCCTGTTCCACGTTTTCTTGAGAGCGCTCAAGATGAGACTTGTGAACTGTGGTCAGGCTCAGACGCAAGGCTTCAAGCTCAATGGCCTTTTGAGCCTAGAGGAATAAAAGCATAATGAAATGATGAATCTAAGTCAGTATTTAAGAGGACAATAATATATTTCACTGACTTTGGAATATTTAATTTAAAAAAAAATGATGAGGCTGACTGAATGAATAATGTTTTGGCTTGTGCGTCTACCTGAACCTGCTGCAGTTCAGCCTGGTGAGCAGCCTCCATGCTCTCTCTCAGCTCCAAAGAAACCTCTGTCTTCAGCTGACTGACAACCTCATTGTGTTTGGCACTGAGCTCTGAGATCATCCGCTCGTGCTCACGTTCAGTTACCTGTCACGAAAGAAGAGCCAGAAAAAGCTAAAATGGCGCTCTTGGTGAATGAGTCCTCACAGCAGTGAAGGAGTGAATTGCTCTGATACCTGTTTGATTAGACTGATCTGTTGTTTCTGTTCTTCCTCCATACTGGCCCGCTGCTTCAGCAGCTCTGTCTCCAGGCGAGTATTCAAGTCAGAAATCTAAAGAGTCGTGCAGATTATATTTATTATTGCTTGCTACTAAAATTAACATTTAATCTGACTCTATTACAAATCCCACAGCAATTGATGAATCGCACCTCCTGCTGATGTTTCTCCATCAGATCTTTTATCTCCTGCTGATGAGATACCTTCAGCTTTTCTGTAGCCTCCTCCACAGCCTGTGCCTGCTTCTCCAGGAGAGCCTTCACCTCGTCTACTTTCTCCTTCATTTGCTCCTCCAACAGATGTCTTACATCAAAAATCTCTTTGTCCTTCTCCAGCCTCTCCTCCTCCCATTTTTCCTTCACTTCAGCCAACTGTGAATATAATTTTATAGGTTAAATCACTGCACATTAGCATTTCAAACTGCCTTGCATTTAAAGTATGGCATTTCGTAATCTCTCACCTCGACATCCTTGGCTTTTAGCAGCTTCTCAAACTGTTCGAGTTCCTCCTCTAGCACTTGTTCCATTTTTTTGATCTGTTCATCCATCTCTTCTTCTCTTCTGCTGTGCTCATCCCTCTCCTTCACAGCCTGAGCCCGATCCTCCTCCGAACAAGTCAGTTTCTCTCTCAGACAGGAGATCTGAGACTCTAGCTCATGCTTCTCTTTTTCAGCACAGTGCAGACTATCGAGGCTCTGCTGCAGCTCCTTCTCCAGCCTCTCCACCTCCGTTTGGACACTTAAAATCTGCACACGTGTCGTTTCAAGCTCCTTTAAAACTGTATCGAGCTCTGAAGTCCTTTGACTCAACAGCGTCGATGCAGTTTTGTGCTCAGTTGTCGTCTCCTCGAGTTGTGACATGAGATGCTCATAGTTGGCCTTGAGAAAAGAAAGCCAGGGAAACGGTTTTAATTATTCATACAATAATTTTCTTATCAAGTCAAAACCTCCAATTTAATGTCTTAGTACTAATATAACTACTGAACCAGCTCCAACTTTGTTAGAAAAAAAACTCTAATTGCTCAGAAACCTATTATCATCATATTTGAATGCATTGTAATTATTGCACACTTGTGGTACTGGCATACCTGTAATGTTTGCAGCTGGTTGTCATCTCTGAATTCTGTGCTCTCCAAATCTGCAGTCTGCTTTATCTCCTGCAGAGATGATACGAGCAGCTCCTGCTGTTTCTGATGAGACTGGAGTGCAGTTTCCTCCTCCTTTAGTTCCCCTACCAGTTTTTCATCCTCATCTGATGGAAAGGTACTAGATATAAGGAGGGAAGTTTCAGCAGAGATTTCAGTTTCCTTTACCGTCAACATTACTACATTCTCCTGCTCTCTTTCTTCTGATAAGGCACAGAGTTTGCTCCTAAGGCTGTCTTGTTCATAGACTTTCAAGTTCAGCTCCTCCTCAAATTGTCTCCTCATTTCCTTTTCGTCTTCGAGCTCCTGGAGAGCTTCCCTAAGCTCTTCTGTGACTTGAGCCCACCTAAAAAGACAGATAATAATAATTTTTAAAAAAAAGTATATCAATCTACAGTAAGAAATAAATGTAACCACAGCAAACCAGCTTACATTCAAATGTTTGTTGTAAACTAGTGATTTATTTCTTAGAAATGCCTTTTTCCAACGTGGACATTTAACAATATTCACCTTGAGATAAATATTTATTATTAATCAAAATTAACAGAGTTATGTAATTTACTCTAGAAGTAAATATTACTGTATTAACACAACAGCAACATCATTGTTAGGTATAGAGCACAGAGTTGTTTTTAAAAGGACTTTGAAGTCATTTGATAAACGGCATGAACTTCATTACCTGCTCCTTGCCTCCTCAAGCTCTTCTGCACTCTTGATTACTTCCTCCTTTAGCACATTTAGATCCCTCTCCTTAAGGGCCAGCTCCTCACGGAGCTCCTCACACTGCTGACTCAGCAGTTCTTTTTCCAAGTTAGTGTCCTCAGACTGCTGCTCAGACACGTTACTCCTTTCCATCCAGCCCGAAGCGGAGTTGTGAAGCCACTGAGGGTTGGACTCATCAGCCGGAGAGTCCTGTGGACTAGAGGTGTTTTGGCGGTCGTCGTGTTCTTCAATCAGACGTTTGGAAATTGATAATAGCTCTTCTCCAAACACATCACTATTTAGCTCAAAACTGAGAAGACACAATGACAAAGGGGATTAATATATCATATAATATCTACAGCTGATAGATAGTGCAATAATAATAGCTGCTCTCACCTGCGGTCTGCAGATATGTCCAGCTGACTGCACTGGTCAAGGTTCTCAGTTATCGCTGAAGACTGCAAGTGTGCAAGCGGAGCTGAAGACAAGTAGCGCTCCATCAGAATATCTCCAGACATTGATTCATTCACACTGCCCTGGTCAGCTCCACTTTCCAGATTAGCCTCATCGATACTGACAGTCTCATCAGAGCTAACGCCAGCTTTTACCTGGTTCTGCCAATTCTTAGACGCTTTGAGTCCCATCACTTCCTCCTCTTTAAATTTTAGTTCTTTCTCCCTCTCTTCCAAAAGCTGCCTGACTTGCTCGACCTCCACTGTGTGCTCCTCTTTGAGCCTTTTCATCTCCTCCTCAAGACTCTGAAAACAAAGGGCAGAGCTAGCAAGCTTCTCACTATAACTCTTCCCTGCATCTTCCTCCTCCTGAAGCCTTCTCCTGAGCTCCTGCAGTTCTACGTTAAGGACCTCTTTCTCCTCTTTGTATTGTTGCATCTCAAGGCACTGACTTTGAAGCTGGCTTAACTGGAAATGAAGGTTTTGCAATTCTGCTTCCCTTTCTTTTCGCTCTTCTTCTCTTTCTTGCTTCTCATTCTCCAGCAAAGAAAGCACGTGCTTGTTTTTCTCCATCTCCTCTGCTAGTTCGCTACATATTCGCTGGCTGTTTCTTCTTTCTTCCTCCAGCTCAGCTCTCAGCTTGCACAGAACAGTTTCCACATCAGTTTCGCCTTCAGCATCAGACTGCGAGCCAGAACTTCCTGAGCCCTCTGATGGCGCTTCCTTATGACTGATGTTTGGCTCTTGGGAGGACGGTCCATGGTAAGGCTGCTGAATATTAAGGGCTTCTGTTCCTGACAGATTTTTGATACGTAGAAACTCCACACTGGTCTGTGTGACAGACGAGAAGACATTCAAGCAGCAGTTGCTGTGCATGAGCAACGAAGCAGAAAAAACAACCACAGCCACATTCGGTTTGATTGGCCCTTACCTGCTGGAGCTGCCTCTGCAGTGCCTGAAGCTGTCCAGCAAGAGACTGTGCCTCCACCTGTACCTGGTCTCTGCTGGCCAGTGCCTCCTGCAGGTTGGAGCTGAGTTTGGCAATTATTTCATTACGCTTCTCCACAGCCTGCTGTAGCAGCTGCAAGCAGGACAAAAGTATGTATCAGTTTTACGAGCAATCAAACACTCATAACTTCACACACTTCCATTAGCTTTTGCAGAACATTATCAAATGTCCAGCATGCATTCCTACTTCCAAATTAATTTTCTATTTTTTCCTCTGTGGCTGGCCAGAAAACAGACTAAATACTTCAAAACAAACAATTTATATGCAAATTACAACAACAAATGAAGCCCACAATCAGGTTGGAAGAATCAAACCATTAACTTACAATACCTTATATACAGAGAAAACACTCCTAGTTTGAGATTTAAATACACAGTGAAACACTACGTGCCAAAGACACTAACCAGATTCCTCTCCATACAAAGCTTCACATTAGACCAACTGTGCTGCTTTTTCAGTCCAGAGCACCAAGCAGCCATGCAGAAGAGGAGACTTGGTACAATCCCCCATGGGAGGTGATGACACAGAAATCCAAACAAACAGTCCTCCTCACACAGATAGCAATACCATAACAAGACTTTCATTGTCTTAGTGAGCAAACAAAGCATCAGGACAAATTAAACACATCCAATTACAAAGTACACAATGGAACGGATTTAGATAACTGCTCAGTTCTGAGGTTACTGTGTGTCAATACAGAACTTAAAAATGTGAGCCCAAGTAGATTACAGTATTCATGACAAACCCCATCTTGTTTCTCCATTTCCAGTTATGCTTCAGCCACCTGAGTTTAACATGATGATGAACTCCAATCAAACGGCTTACTTACGGATTACTGAATTATGCCATACAAGACAAAGACATGCAAATATCCTGACATGCTCCCTGGAACTGCACTAATAGATGCAAACCAGCCAACTTGGAAACTGCTTCAAGAAGTTAACTTGCGCCAAATATGGAGACAAAGCCCTTTATGTAATTAATCCAATCAGCACCAGGACATGGGGAAAAAAAATGTTCGCAGAAGTACAAGTCAATTCTGATAAACCTAAATCACTCACGTTTTTATAAAGCCATTCACACCACTTGTTCAACTTCTACAGCTCAATCCAGGGTACAGATTTGGTCAACGTCTCTGGCTCATCTCACGAGAACAAATGTAAATCCTCTGTCCTCTTTAACAATAATGACCTACGCTCCTTGATTTTATTCTTCTAAAGAAAACCAGCTCCATGAGAGAACCCATCTATGGTATTCTTGAGTTTTCCCCCAGACACACTTTAAAAGTTTGACGTCCTACAGCAGTGTCCAGATACTGGCTTTGTATACCTTGAGCTGCTCTTTGCCAGTAAGTGCAGCTAACTCCTCTTCTCTCAAGTCATCCACAGGGGACGGGCTATGCCTGGGGGTGAGCGGCTGATCCTTCGCTTCGTTTTGCCAAACCTCTGGTTTCCCTGACATTTGAGGCTCCTAAAGGATTAAAAAGTATTAGAATTAAAGTCTAATCTTACCAGAGTCCACAAAAGAAATGTCAGGAAAAAACGCATGTGCTGCAAATTTGCACATTTAATGTCATTAGTGAACTCTGCCTTAGTAGGAAAAAAAAAAAAAAGGCAGTTAATCCTGGCCAGGTTGTCATGACAACATGGCCTACAGGCAATGTGATGGTTAGTGACCCATTTCTGTAATGTATGTTTACAGACAGGGGGCATAGACCACTTGTTGAAGCATACAGTGAATAAACAAAATTAGACAAACGGGGGGGGGGAGAACTGTGAGTATGAATGGAGACATGACCGTCATGAAAATAACAAACACTTTTAATTAAAACTAATAATCTTATCCTCCCTACATATCAAAATTGCTTCAGTGTTTGTAACTATTATTGATGAGCTCTCTAGGCAATTGGCGGCATACCTCATGGTTGGTGCTGTTATGCTCTGTGGCACTGGCTGATGGAAGAGCTGGTTCTACGTGGTGATCTTCCGTCGAGCGGTCATTCTGCGAGTCAACCTGGCCCTTCCTCTTCTGCGTCTTTTTCGCCGCCCCCGCCCCGTCGCTTTTCGCCCGCTTCTGTCTGAAACTAGCAAGCTGCGCAAGAAGGACAGCGAGAGGTAGATGGACACGTACGTCAGCACCAAAGAGCACCACCACACTATCAGCATGGTGAACCTCAGGGGTTGAAGGAGAAATGAGGTCAGAGTCCAGATTTATCTCCTCAAGGTAGGGAAATGTATACAAAATGAATCAAAACGAGACAAAAGTCATCATGTGAAGTTAGTGATAGTCCACAGTGTAGAAAGGAAAACCCCTCGTCTTGATGAGTCAGTTGTGCAGCAAAAAAAGCCCAAAAGTAGTCCCAAAACTCAAATCCAAAATAGACTACACCATAGCCCGACAAGGTATCCAAGTTCAAAATGAAGTGAGGCAGCTAAATATTCTCAAATCTCCAGAGAACAGGCTGATGAGAAGTGCAGATTTTACATTGACACACAGTGGACAACCTCTCAGCAGACCAGAAACAGAGCAAGGTTTAAAAAAGGACACGCAACTGTCACTTTGTATTTCTCAGCTTGTCAAAACCTCAAAAATCACAGATGCAGCTTTTTTTTTCCCCCTATTTTTTTTTGGAAGGGTCTCTTAAAGTCCTTTCTGTAGCTATAAAAGGAAATGTATATCGAAACTAAACCTGACAAGAAAAAAAAAAGCATAATTATATTAAAGCTACAATATTTATCTTGAATTCCAGAGGGAACAATTTGATAGAAATTCACCTCGGTCAGTTTGACTGCAACACACCCTCTCCTCTGTTCACTGCCTCTCTCATGCCCCGTCTCTCTTCCTAAGCAGCTTAAATCAGATCACGGCAGTTCACATTGTGACAGAGACCCTCATAGAGCTTTCCATCAATATCTGACAGCAATTATTGACTTCCTTTCTTGCTGCCTGTCAGACCTATCCATTCTTCCTCATCGGGCAAGTTGCTCTACTGTCCAGATATAGAGCTTGCAGTCTGCAGGCAACAGCGCAGTCAGCCCAACCTTTCATCCAAAAACTCACTGCCAACAGCCAACATCCGAAGCAGAGGGATCCACAAACTCTGGGTAGAGGATGGCATGTGTCTAGACTAAAGAAAGAGGGTGGAGACTGGGACATGCATTCACATAGAGAGGAGGAGACAGAACTCTATGTGTGGCAAGCAGCACTGGAGTGTGCATGCTCAATTCAATTTGAGATTACATGGCCCTGGGAGACCTACTTGTTGCATTATGTGATGACTCACAAGCGTGATGCATAACAATATCGTGTGTGCATGTGCATAAAACCTTGTTCTGATCACATGTTCCTTGACTACACTGCCACATTGTAGGTTCTGCTTTATAAGCAGCCTGAAATGCATCCATCACTGTACAACCTCAGTGTCCCACTCCTGAAAGCAGCCTTTTATCAAGTTAAGCACCCTTAAATGTTTTCCTACCTTAAATTGTCAGCCTTCTTTCCTTACTTGCTTAAAACCGCACCCATTCTCCATCCATCACCCTATTCACTGCCTCCGCTTAGCACAAAAAAAATAGAAAAAAGAAGAAAAAGAAGGAAAAATAAGCCCTTAAAGACAGCAGGATGAGCTGTGTTTAGCCCAAGGCCACTTCTGCCCTACTGAGACTGACTAACAAGCTGGCTGAAGCTCACTCTAGTCAAATTAGATGTAATTGGACTGCTGAAAGCTGCTGTTCTCAACAATGTCATCATTGGTCAGGGGGGGACTGCTGTCTCCACCAAGGGGTTAATTTGCTGTCCACGTTGGTGATGGTGTCAAATTTGTGGCACGCTTTTAATGCCAGAGAGAAATCAGAGCTTACCGATGCCACAAACATAGTAAAGGCAAAAGACAGCACTGCATTACCATAGCAACACCATTCATGTGAGACACACGCGCAACATCCTTCACCTCACCCAATCTCATGGGTGCACTGCACCACCTGATGGCCTGTAACTAACATGACAGCATACGCAAGGTGCATGGCTATTTTAGGCATTCAGATCATGACTGCAGGCAGATTTCCTTTCAGATGCTGTATTGTTTGAAGAGCAATATACATTAAAAGGTGACAGCGATTACCCCACAGCGCAGAAAAATAAGAAAGTTGTGATTGATCACTCAACAGAAACAAAACAAAACAAAAAGAAAAATCAAAGAAGAAACAGCCACAAGCCCACAAGTCATTGATTTGCTCCTTCATCCACCACTTTCTATACTTACATTCTGACTCCGAGGCATGGTGGAAGATTTCTATAAGGAATATAAATGTTGTAGTTGAGTAATTTTTTGTTATTATTATTATTTCCCCAAAATGAGTTCCATTACAAATGATAGATGGATTATATCATATAACACATGCAGTGTAAGTGGCTATCCTAAAAAGGTGACTTAGTTTTATACATTGTTTCTAGACTACATGGCTTGTTGTCAATGTGGGACAAGCCATTTTTGACTACTAGACCATTAATAATATGGCTTCCCATTAAGGTGAAATCAGCTGCTTGCCATTTCTACTTGTAAACACCAGAGGAGCCAATTTCAAAACTGATGAGGGCTGAAATTTTTTATTTATTTATTTTTTGCTACTTTGGGGCTTGCTATAACTAAATGAAGCATGCATACTGCTCTCTCAGAAAATCCTGGAGAAGAATGTCAGACCATCAGTTTGCGGTCTGAAGGTCTGACTCACTAGTTCTCACCAGCACAATGACCTGAAACACACCAGCAAGTTCACTTCTTATTGGCTCAAACAAAACAAAATGAAGGTTTTAGAGGGACCTAGTCAAAGTCCAGGCTTATATCCCATTAAGATGCTTTGGCATGGGATTAAACAGGCTTTTCATGCTGCAAAACCTCTGAATTCACACAATTCCACAAAGAAAAGTGGCACAATATTTTTCCATAGTGATGTGAAGGACTCATTTCCAGTTATCGCAGATTGCAGTTCTTTCTGCCAAGGTTGAAGCAACCAGTTATTAAATGGAATCATTTAAAAACATTTTGCATTTACTCGGTGGTGGCGGGGGTCTTTGGCTAACATTGAAATTAGTTTGATCTGACATGTATGACAAGTTTACAAAAGAATGAAAAAAAAAATTCTTCTTCCTGATTTTTGAGCACTATGTCACTTAGATACAAGTAAACAGTACTTGTTTAGAGAGCTTAGTGCGGGATAGGCTCACAAAGTTTTGCCACAATTTTGAAACACAGATGACTGACTTAGTGAATAGTTAACTTTGGAATTGAGGCTCTGTTATAACCACTGCACAAGTAAACCCTGTCAGTGAGTAAACATATGATATTGATCCACGTTGTTTGGAGCTGTAATGGCCTGTGAATAATGTGCAACCTGCATTCTCAATAGCAAAACAAATCAAGCAAGTGCCAAAAATCTCCCACCGAATGCATCTTCACTGCACACGAGTTAAAGGCAAACTTAACACATATGTCTAAATAAAAATGAAAGCTATTTGCTATGGTCAATGGAACAATCACATATGCATTTACTGTTGAACTACCAAGTAACTTATATGAAAACTGCCTTCATTTACCAGCTGATTAACCTGCTTCATAAATGATGTTACTCTTCGCTTCTCATATTCTACGCCCAACCGCGGGAAATACATGGCGAGAGCCTGCAATTTAACATTCAAAGGTAATTCAAGCCACAACAAATGTGCAGTCGTTTTGGTGGTGAGTGTAGTTAGCAATGGATAAACGCAGGGCTATGACAAAAGAGTTTGCTAAGTGCTAGCATTCAATATTAGCATGCGTTACATGTTAGCAACAAACCTTAGCTCTCCCAGCTTCTACCTTCCTCCGACGTTCATCTTCATCCATGACTCGATCGAAATAAACGCGTTAAAGGTTTAGGACATACGTCCTGATTTTACTAAAAATAACGCTAAACCTTCCTTCAAAGAATAAGTTAACCCTTGAACAAATCTTTACATGCAACTGTCAACAGACAACATTGAGTATGGCCGCCAAGTCAACGTAGCTCCGCCCTTATCGAGTTTCCCTTGCCTAACTGCCCAATCAATTAGTTACTTTCCTCACCTTCAGCCAATTAAATTCGTGTTGTTTAAAAATAAGTTAAAAGCACCGCCTACTTTATATAGCAGTCAAAACTAGCACTCAGTTAACCAATCAAATTGCTGCTTCAAGCCGCCTAGACTGGATTGACGTCTATTGTACCCAACCACAGTTAGCTCATACAATTTCATTTAGGGGGCGTTTACAGTGAAGTACGCAGGTTAAAAACATTAGTACCGTTCACATTATATTTATTAAAAACACAAAGCAACGATCTACAGTTTATATTAATTAAAGATTAGTGCCTAATGTACTCAAACAGTGCGTTTCCGTTTATTAGGAGTCAATGATTGTGCCACGTTAGAAAGGTTTTGACTATACCCAAATGAGGTGAGCATCAGCAGCAGCCAGCACTTAAGCACTAAATCCATCCAACAGAGCCAAGTAATAATTCAGAACCCAGCTTTAGGCTTTTGTATGTGACAAATCAAAAGAAGAATAGGACACATTTAATGTTTTTATTGTTTGAAGGTTCTCTTCACTGTCCCACCCTTAGTTTTTTTTGGCAGCAGAGAAACCAGGCCAAGCAGGTAATGCAAGTCATAGTTAAGTCCAGTAGTAATAAACAGGTGTGTCCCATGGCAGCTACTCTGTGGCTTTAGTTTGTCTGAAAAAAAAAAGTCTGAGTTACTCCAAATGCCACGACATGAAGTAAAGTTTAGCTAAGTCAAGTCAAACTTTATTTCTATAGTACATTCAAAACAACCTCAGCTGACGAGAGCACTGTACAAGTTAAACAAAATAGGCTTAAAATATAAACTCTACATAAAAGTCACAAAATCAAGCTGTAAGTCTGTGTGGTTAGTACTTCATAAAAAAGATATTGGAACAACTTGAATTTGGATTTGGATGGAAGTATTTCTCCATGCATTCTGATGAAAGTAGGACTTTTTTCTTGTATTTCAACCTTTTAGTTTTATTTCATAGAAAGTCCGACAGAGAACCCATAGCTTTTAATGATCAGAAACATGGCACGAGTTGCATTTCATCAGTGGTCCTCACCATCCACCCACAGTACCCACCCATCTCCATCAACCAGCCACTGGTCTGCCCTTCCTGCCCTCTCTACCACTACCTGCCCCAACTCAGCCTCCTCATGTACTCCAGCAGACTATGAGATACAGATCTCATAACACCCCAGTGCCCCTCTGTTTCTATTTGGTCTGTTAAGTGTATTTATTTTTGTTCTCCTCCTGCTGCTGCCTGACCCAACCTGACCTACACTGCGTACAAGATTGCACGGATTAGATTTAAAATGCTCTGGTAAAATCCCCAAGTAAAGTTATCTTTTTACCTCCCTGAGGTAAACATATGATGTTGATCCACGTTGTTTGGAGCTGTAATGGCCTGTGAATAATGTGCAACCTGCAGGTTATTTGAGTTTTAAGTTTTAAGACAAGGAAACGGTATATATTTTTTAAATAAATTATTTATCCATGTGCTTCTTGTAGTATTTGTTTTTTGCATCAATATCCTTTGCGAGATTTGTTAATTTGTAAAATTATTGGTTATATATGAGGAAAAAGGACAAACCACACAATACTTTTGACAGGGGTGACGTTTCTATCGCACTGCAACTATCGCAGCACCCTGTGCCAAGGCAACTGCAGCTTCCTTGGATTCTTCTCCTTCAGTCCTGCCCTGCAAAACAGTCATCACAAAGGGTAAATGGTAAATGGCCTGTATTTGTATAGTGCTTTTCTAGTTCCTAAGGACCCCAAAGCGCTTTACACAACCAGTCATCCACCCATTCACACACACATTCACACACTGGGTGCGTAACAGCACTGTTTATGTCATGTATAGCTACAATATATGTTTGGTACTGTTTGACATGGTGTAACTGATGTTGACACAAAAAGCCCAGATTGATCAGACCATGATGCATGACATCATGCTCCAAGCCATACCTCCCATGTCCGTGGCCGTGTCATCACCTGGTGGGCTCAGTCACTGTGCTTTTCACACTACATTTCTCAAGCATGCAAATAGACACAAACACCTTGACACATAGAGACAAAGTGAAAAAATGGCTACACTGTTTACCAAATTGACATTTTTTGTCTCATTACTTCCAGGCAAGTTACCATGGATATCATGTTTGTAAGACCTGATTTCAAAATAAAGAGTGTGGCTGTGCATCAACATCAGCATCACTGCAGTCTTGCCCCTAGATCACCACAACTGCCTCCAATCAGCAACCATGCATTCTCATCAGCCACCAGGGGTGACGTTTCTCACTGCTCCACATGTAGAGACACCAACCTTCATCTTCCTTTGATAGAGCCATGAATCCGCTCGGTGGTCCTCCTCTTTTCTCATCTCAGCCTTGCCTCTCTCTCTAACATCGTCTTCAAGCCGCTTAACCTGAGCTTTCCCTCTGATATACTCATTTCTGATCTTGTCCATTGTGGTTACTGCTGCTTAAAATCTTAACATTTTGAACTCTCCCACCAGCTTGTCCTGTCTTTTTGTCACTGCCACCATCTCCATCACAGCAGGTCCTCAGTTCATGTCCTGCGCCATCTTCACGTGCCATAGTTCCTCTCTTGGCACCCCATCATATCTTGTTTTCTTTAGATCCACAAAGACCTAGTGCAGTCCCTTCTGACCTTCTCTGCACCTTCTCCATCATTGCTCTCAAAGCAAACGTCACATCTGCTCTTTCCAAAGCCTGATTGTTGCTTGCCTGAGCGTCACCTCTCTTCTTAACCCAGCTTTAACAACTCATACACTTAAATTTGTGGTAAGGCTCATCAATGAAAAAGTACTTCTTCAAAGTTTTCAACACATTCTCTTCACTCATTCATACCAATTTTATCTTTATAATTAATCACCCTAACCTGCTGCACATCCCTTCCAGCCAATTAATACAAGTTATTTTCTCCTTTCTCAGTGTCCATGCTCATATAAAACGTCCAACAAGCCTTTTTTCCCCTTTGCCACCTCTCTCTTTGTTTTATACATAGCCTCCCAGTACATCTGGCTACTTGGAATGGTGACCATTCCATTTTTTCTTTGTTCTTCCTTTGCATATTTCCTCATTCTACATAATCTCCTTGTCTTCTTTCATATGTTCAGCTTTGGATCCAAATGACTGATCTTAAGTAGACTTCTTTGAGAGAATAGATTTGCTGCACTTAGGAAAACTATCTTAAGCAAAACTAAAAGGAGTAAAAACTGAGGCAACTTAGAAAAAACTTCTCAAAGCAGCTTGTAAGAACTATATGACTGAAGGTTTAAAACATACATACAGCTTTAAAATGGGTAAGTCTGCTGCAGGGATAAATATCGTTCGTGTGTTCATTTTTGTCGAAGAGCAGAAATTAAACTTTTCGTCATTCTTCGTTCGAAGGGGAAAAGATTTACGCCCGAACAGGGACTTGAACCCTGGACCCTCAGATTAAAAGTCTGATGCTCTACCGACTGAGCTATCCGGGCTCTGACGACAAGGCGCACAGGACACAATAAGAATTACAACCAGACTGAACGCCGCCAATTTATTTCACCAGTCTAAGAAACTTTTCTTTCAGCTTCCGTGATGTCAAGACGAAACGGCCGTTGTTAGCAGCGAACTACGCTAGTAAGCTAAACTTAAACTAGCGCTACAGACAGCCTTTTGTAACTTCATGTAGCATAGAGCCACGTTAAAATACGAAAGGTTAGTCACCGTCAACCCGTCACCGTGTTATAATCATAACACATTATAAACCGGATCATGTTTGTAGTTTGTTTTTCACTGCACACACAAACTCATTGCATCGTTTTTAATAGACGAATTTTCAGCTGTACAAATTGGTATTTTACAAGATTTATAATATAAACAAACAAAAACGCTAATCACCTTCAAATTAACATTGATCACTACAGTCTCCATCGACAGTACTTCATCATCACCTTGGCACATCCCTTTGAAAAATAAAAATAATTTAACAATATGTGTACGAAAATGTACAGATGCAAAACAATCCAAGTTAAGTGACACTCTGCATTAGCAACTTATTAAAGTGCATCATTCCCAGTGTAAAGACCTGGCTTATTGACATGGGGAACAGAGTGCTTCCATGCTCTGACTGGATATGGTAGAGTTTCTTGCTGTGCCATCAAGTTTGAACTCTCCAGAAGGATGAATATGTGATGTCCATGCACTTTGGGAGATTTTAGTATGGCAGAAGTCAATATTACATGCTTTGACAGCCTTGTTTTCCTACTGAACTATTAGTCTATAAGTCTGTTGACAAATATTTAAATGGGGGAAAAATGGGTGACATTAGATTTTAAAGTGTCTGCAAACACATCAAAATTGATTCAATATTCCCCTGGGCTGCTGTGAAATAACCTGATAACACAGTGCATGTTTGCATGCAGAACTCAAATCAGTACAATTCATTTTTTAAACAAATATCAATTTGTGCAAATGCATCCAGATTTCTGGGCTTTGGGACATTTTTAGAAAAATCTCTTGTAAAGCAATTAATGCAGAAAAGGGTTAAATTAAAAGATGATATGAAAAATATTATGTAAATTTTATAAGAGTTGAGATCTTCATACTTTTTTTTTTTTTACAAGAGGCAAAATGCAAGCTGAAATGCAGAGTATATGGTATAATCCACACCCTGCTGCTATCAGTACAAGAACAAATATACACAATGAAAGTCTCTGTTTTTAACAGCATCTGTCTAAACACACTTCATTGTTATGGAGACATTCTTCATTTCCTTCATTTCATGTTATCATGTTTACAA